GGATCTCTGAGAAAAGAATATCCTTAAATAGATCAGAGAACTAAAGAGTAAATCAGAGAATTCTTGATTAAAAGGAATGGAGAAAGGAGGGTTAAGAGGTACTATTAATGATGCAGCTGGATACACCTGGATTATTTTGTGTCTCAGCTCAAATGTCACTTTCTTGGAGAGACCCTCCATGGTCATCTTTCTAAAGTAGCACCTTCTTACCTCAATTTATTTTCTTTTAGCATTTCTTATAACACTATAATTACCCGGTTTCTTCATTGGATATATAGTCTATCAACTGCTGGAACTTCACGAAGTCAGGAACCTTTGATGTCTTGTTCTTTGTGGTGTCCTCAGAGTTTAGAAAAGTGCCTGGCATATGGTAGAAACCTAGGAACTGTTTGTTAAATGAATGAAGAATAGATGATCTCTTCCCCCTTCAGATTTATGATCCATTAAATACAACTAAGATTAAAGGAAATAATTTGGTTTTTGCTTTTTAAAAGTCTTACATTGATAAATGCACAATTCCTGCAGTCAGTTGCCACAAATGTGTAGTTTTTGTAGTTATAAAAAATTAACTGCTATGGTCTAAAAGTTTGTATCTTCCCAAAATTCATATGTTAAAATCTTAATGCCTAATGTGATGGTATTAGGAGGTGTTCTCATAGCCAAGAGATGGTACAAAGTTCCCTTGTTCCTTCTGCCATTGAGGATATAATGAAAAGTCTGTAACCCTGAAGAGAGGGCCACCGCGTTTTTTATATTTTGTTACAGCAGTCTGAATGGACTAAGACTAATCCTTTGCATTTCTGAATAAATGTTTTAGTATAATCTCTAACAGATTTCCTCATGGGCAGCTAGTAGAGGAAATGAGAGAACCTGGAATCTTGTTTCTTTTGTTAATCTTGCAAGTGTGTTAATATTTGAGAGAAATGTTTCTCTAGTTCTTACCTAAAGTAAATTTAAAAGTTGATTGACCATTCTAGACATAGGGCAAAGTTGTTTTTTAAAAAAAATTGTGTATTAACTGCAATAACATTTTTTTGTTCATATCGTGCCTCCTGAATCTTATACTTATTTCCTTATTTCTAAACCCGTATGTCCAATCCAGTAGCCATCTCTATCAAGATATCCTTACAGATACCTTGTAAAAGTTAGAACTCTTTCTGCTGCAACTAACTGATAATCTATATAAAACTAGATTATACCAGAGAGAAAAATTTTTGGCTCTTTGTACCTGGGAAGAGTAGGGATGGAACTGGCCTCAAGATCAAGTAGATTTAGAGGCTCAGTTGTTATCTGGATATACTCTCTCATCTCTCTCATCTCATCTTCTTCTGTTGGCATTGTATTTTTTTTTTCTTTCTGTAGGTAGGCTTCCTTCATGTGATAAAAATGGTGACCACAAGGAGCTAAAAGCTTACATTATTGTCTACCTTTAATGAACTCAGAAGAAAGCACTCCTTTCCTGTTTTTACTGTGAAAAACCAGGCAACAAAAAGACTGGTGTTGCCAGCCTGAGGCTTCTACAAACCCCTCTGGGGTCATGTTTGTTAGTGTTATTAGAAGAGTACTTATCAGTTTAAATATTGGTTTGGCTGTTAAAGATAAATAAGAGTAACTTAAATGATATTTATTTTTCTTTCCCATAAAAGTCCAAGTTGGCAGATGTTTCTAAGGTGTTCAGTCTCCTTTCTTGAGATTCCGCCATTCCCTAGGATGTTACTCTTGTCTGTATGGTGATGGATCACCGTTTTTACATCTGCCTTCCATCCTGCAAGAAGTGAGAAAGAGAGAGTGGAAGGCATGCAACTGCTCTTTAAGGGTACAACCTAGAAATCTCACCATTTCAGCCAGCACACTGTTGTCCAGAACATGGTCACACTTAGATGCGAGGAGGGCCAGGAAATGTGGTCTCTTGTGGGTGGCCACTGTTCTAGTTAAAATTAGTTGGGGAGCATGGAGGAGAGGGTACCTTATATATGTTATTAAAGGGAAGAAGGGAAAAATAGATGTTAGGGTACTGACCTTGTCGCAGGTGATTTTGTTATTTTATTTATACCACAATCACATAATTATACTTGACGATATAGGGAAAGACTAGTTCCTAAAGGTAAGAGGAATAGAAGTGCTATTAAAATAAGACATTAGGGTGGCTCAGCGGTTTAGCACCTGCCTTAGGCCCAGGGCATGATCCTGGAGTCCTGGGATCGAGTCCCACATCGGGCTCCCTGCATGGAGCCTGCTTCTCCCTCTGCCTGTGTCTCTGCCTCTCTCTCTCTCTCTCTCTCTTTCTATGTCTCTCACAAATAAATAAATAAAATATTTTTTAAAAATAAAATAAGACATTAGTGACAGGGGGAGAGGTCATGGTAGACAAAAGTGACATCTATACCATATACCTACAAATCAACATATCTGAAACTTAGCATCTTCCAAAACAGTATTCTTGTTCGTCCAAGTTCATTTAATCCCACTACGATCCAGCCAGCTATCCAAACTAAATGTGGGAATAATTATACACTCCTCTTGTTTTTTCAGTCTTAAGCTATAATTATACTTCCTAGGTGGGACTCCAATCCCACCCTTTCTCCTTCTTCCCACAATTATTTCTTTGGTTCAGGTCACCTTCATCACACTCGGGGTATTTTGACACTCCATTCCAGTTTCAGTGCACTGTTCCAACATAGCCTGAGTGATATTTTGAAAAGACCAGTCTGATTATGTCACTCCCTTGTTAAAATAACAAAACAAAAAACCTTCAGTTGCTTTCCATTGCCTGCATGATAAAACCTTGCAAGTTATAAGATACTGAACCCTAGTTAGCTTCTCTGTTATTTTCTAGTGTCTGAGCATTCCTTCCTACTACTATTGTCCCAGTCTCCTTGGTGTCATGCTCTTTTATCCTATTCTGTTTTTGCCTATTCCTATATTTTCGCCAGGAAAATGCCACTTTTTCTTCAAGGCTCATTTTGGGAAGCCTTCTCTGACCCTCTGCTTCTTCCACTAGAGTTTACCACTGTCTCCTTTTGCTACCTCTGTAACTTATTCATTACAGATATTTGTTTACTACACAGTCTCCATGATTAAATTGTGCATCCCTGACAGAACTACATCTTTCATCTATATTCCTAGTGTCTGATACAAAATAAATCTTTAAAAATATTTACTGAATGAATAAATGAATTAATTGAAAAAGTCCAATCTTTTATATATTGGTTCTCAGTTATTTACTACCATCCCTATCATAAAGGTATGTAAGGTGTAAGACAATAAAATTTTCTGCATTTACTTTTCTAGATAATAAGAGGAGTTTCTAGTCTATTTTGAATATGTTTTTATAAAATCAAAATTCAAGTTGATTTGATTTCATGTACAGTTAATTTTTTTTCCAGTTTTTATTTTAGTGGACTCTGGTTCCTTTAACAAAATACCATAGGCTAGGTGGCTTAAACAGTAGATGTTTATTTCTTACACTCTGGCTGAGCAATCTAAGGTCAAGTAACCAGCAGATTCAGTTCCTGGTGAAGGCCCTCTTCCTGGCTTACAGGAAACTGCCTTCCTCACTGTGTCCTTCACATGACAGAGAATGAGTTCTAGTCTCTCATACTCTTTTTTTAAAAGGGCACTAAACCCATCATGGAGGCTCCCATCCTTGTGACCTCATTTAGTGTTCTACAACCAAATACCATCATATTGGGGTATTAGGGCTTCAGGAAATGAACTTGGGAGGGAACACAAATATTCAGTCCATAAATATCCCTGCTCCTTTCTCTTGTTTCTAAAAAGAGTTCTAAGATCCTTTCAATATCAAGTGAATTTTTATGTTTACTTTAAAGTTACTTTGAATTGACGATATTCTCAAGGGACCATTTTGAAATGGTCTGTAGTATACTCGGGTATGTTTAAATGAAAGCTTAGATTCAGTCTATTGACTGTACTATATTAGGTGAAGGCTTATTATATTACCCACAACATATAATGAAAAAACAACTTTTTCCAGTTTTATTAAAATTAGAAACTTAGTATTTTAAAAGTAGTGCATGTTGATAATAGAAAATTTAGAAAATATATATATAAGTAGGAAAATAAGTCTATAGTCTCAGAACTCAGAGCTCACTCTGTGATTTTATATGATCTTTTTGTAGTGACAAACAACATTCACCTATTTGTTTATTACAGAATGGGAGTGGGTTTCATGTATTATTCTTACAGTTTTTCTCCCCCCTGCAATTTAAATAGGTTTTCAAAACATCAAGTTTAATTATTTCATCGTATTCCCTGAATTATTTATATATTTCATCCTCTGTATTGGACTTTTAGGTAGCTTCCTATTCACTATAGTAAATACACCTTAATGTTAATACTTCTTAAATATTCTTCACTTATAATTAATGCTTTAAATTTCAGTTGTGTTCATGGTAGTTTCTTTTTAAAAAAAAAAGTAAAAATCTTTCAGTCTTTCTTTAGGACTGTACCTTTGCTGTCATGTTTAAACTTGCAAAGGATATATAATGATTTGCTTATGTTTTACTTCTCTTATGGTTTTTCAACATTAAAAATTTCAATCTGTCTGAAATGTATTAAGGTATATGGGGCTTGAATCTACTTTTAGAGTGTTCTCTTGGAGGTTCCAATATGTGTCAAGAACTTTGTTAGCAATAGAAGATCATACCATAGATCTATTTATGATAAAAATACCAACTTTCATGTATTTCAGGTTTTATGGTAACTAAAAATTATTAGTTATTGAATTGTATGAGATTAGTGAACCAACGCTGAGAATCTGGTTTACTTACTATATGATACTATACCTCTAGCTTTATACATTTTTTCCCCTGGTTTCTCTTACTCAAGAAAATGTTATAGACAAATGTTCTGTTGGGAAGATTATTTGTTTCATAGCTGTTAGGTTTGTTATGGGAGCATATCTAGTACATTGTTGGCTTATACATGTAAAAAATAAATTGCCTAAATTTTACCAATATATTTATTTTGTTTTTTTCTAGAATCTGTGTTTGTGGCTATCCCCGACAACATGTAAGAAAATACAAAGGTATAAGTAGCAGGATACCAGTTTCTTCAGGATTCATGGTGCAAATGTTAACAGGGATTTATTTTGCCTTGTAAGTTTATTTAATATGAGAAGTAAATCTTTGATCTCTGAAAAATCAGTCTGTTGTTTTATTGTTATTACATTATAATCTCATTGGATAAACAATCAGCATATCTTTTGAATCAAGATTTTTTTTTAAGATTTCATTTATTTATTCATGAGAGACACACAGAGAGAGGCAGAGACGTAGGCAGAGGGAGAAGCAGGCTCCATGCAGGGAGCCTGATTTGGGACTTGATCCTGGGACTCCAGGATCATGCTCTGAGCAGAAGGCAGAGCTCAACTGCTGAGCCACCAGGTGGTCTTTTTTTCTTTTTTTAAAGATTTTATTCATTTGAGAGAGGTACAAGAGAGAGCAAAAGCAGGGGGGGAGGCAGAGGGAGAGGAATAAACAGATTGCCTGATGAGTGAGTAACCTGACCAGGGCTGGATCCCAGGAACCTGAGATCATGACCTGAGCTGAAGTCAAGATGCTTGACTGAGCCACCCAGGCACCCGAATATGAATCAAGATCTTAATAGTTTTATTACTTAAAACATATTTCTCAAAAAAAAACTATTTCTTTAAAAAAAGACAAAAACAAAAACATATTTGTTAATGTTCTGGAGAATTTGTAACCAACTCAAACATTCCATCTCTCTTTAATTCAAGTTCAGAATGAAAATTCGCAACACCCTTACATACTCACAGATTCTTACTCTTTTTTTTTTTTTTGCTATAATTTTCAAAAAGCTTTTTTTTCCCAATGAAGATCTTTTTCCATTTCCAGAAATTTTAACTCTTAAAAAACATCTTAGAGAACTTCCTTGATCACCAATAGTTTATTATTAACTTATTATTAATTTCTAATATTAGTGCTCAGTCTTACTTAATACTTAGTAGTGTTTTTCTTTGAACCCTATCTTCTACTACACATCTTACACTTTGCATTATATTCATTTGATATATTAATTTTTTATAGTAGATTATAAGCATCTTAACTGAAGGTCGAATTTATGATCCTTTGAACTAAATATGGCTTGCTGCCTGTTTCCTTAAAAGCTTTATTAAAAGACATTTACATCTGTTTGTTTACATATTGCCATGGCTGATTTTGTGCTACAGTGACAGAGATGAATAGTTGCAATAGGGATTGTATGGCCCACAAGCCTAAAATATTTATTATCTAGCCCTTAAAGAAAAAATTTATTGACCCTTGTGTTAGACCATTAATATTGTTCCACAGCTCTTGGATGCTCTGATCTGTTTTATTTTCTGTCTTTATTGCTTTGTGTTTCAGATTTAGTAATTTCTCTTGACCTATCTTCATATTCATTAATTCTTTTCTTGATGTTGAGTCTATTAATGAGCCATTGGAAGGATTCTTCCTTCATTTCTGTTACTGTGCTTTATTTCTAGTCTTTTTATTTGACTCTTTCTTATGGTTCCCATCTCTCTGCTGAAATCACCATCTGTTCCTACATGTTTTCCATCTTTTCCACTAGAGCCTTTAATATATTAATCATAGTTATTTTAATCTCCCTGCTTACTGTAAAATCTGAATCATTAATGAATTTGTTTCTATTGTTCTTTGTCTCTTGCCAAGAGGTTGTTTTCTTGCTTTTTGTGTGCCTTGTAATATTTGATTATCATTTTTTTTCATGGATAGAACGGTAGTGACTGAGGTAAATATCATTTATGCCCAGAAATGACATGTCTCTTTTGTTATAGGCTTTTGGCAGCATTATTATAGGCAAGAGTGAGCTGAGGTTGGATTTTATTGTTGCTTGTTTACCTTCATGGTACCACCTACCTCAGATTCCTCTTGTGGTACCTGGCAGTTAGGGTGTGAGCTGGATTCCTGGAGGGGTTTTCTCAGTATTCTTGCTCCATCCTCAGCTTTTAGCTTTCCCTGTGTGTCCATGTTCTTGTCCCTCCTTCAGCAATAGAGTGCAGTTGCTTGTTTCTGAATGTGTCCTGGCCTGGGTGGACATTTGGAGGGAGACACGTTCTCTGTTGTCCTGATCCAGTCTCAGTCGTAAGCAGGACCTAAGTCCCTGCACCTGTGGTTGGCGGGAAGGGGTAGCTCTTCAGTGGTCCTGTCCCTCCTCCAGCGGTAAGAGATCTCTAGTGGTCTCAGCTGAGGACAGTTTCCTGATCCTTTCCCCCAGATAGAGTTTTTTTTTTTTTCCTTTCTTTCACAGCCATAGTCAGTCTTCACCTCTTCCCTTGGGGTGAAAGGGTTTGTTGCTCTTTCCCCAAAGGCTTTAAAACTTTTGTTTCACGTGAGAAAAAGGTCTGGCTGGGTCTTCAGGCTTTTCTTGCTCAGGTGGCTTACTCTCTCCTTCAGGGCCACACTACCAAGAGCAGCTTTTTCTGGTCCCTTGCCTTGCCCCCAGTTTTTCTTATGAGGGCCTAGAGGTGGTTTGTGAAAAAGAACTTATAAGTGGGCGTGAGCTCCTCTTGTATCTATTCCCAGAGATTCTATACACTCGTGCTGGCCCATACTGGGCTTTTAGCAATTTGTTTAAAAATTTAGCTGAAGTCTTCTTATTCGTGCATTGTGGTCTGTCTCTTCTTAGAGGCATCTCTCTGTCCTTAGGTTTCAGGCTACTTGGCTGCCCTGATTTTTACCTCCTTGCTGAATTCATGGAAAGCTATGATTTTATAGATTATCTGACTTTATTTTATTTTTAGGGTGGGAGCAATGCTCTTTCCATTTTCTAGTCCTCACTTGCACTCTCGATATAATTCATTTTAGAGTTTGGCCATATCTTTGAAAATTAATATACATACACACTTTATCTCCCAATATCTCTCTGACATTTGCAAGATACATCATATACACTTCTAAATGACCATCAGAATGCAAAGAAGTAGCTACTTAAGATACTCTAAGCCACAGTAGTTATAGATTCTCATTAAAAACTGTAGGAGTTACAGAATAATTTGACCATAAAGTGTTCTGAACATTATTCTAAGGTATATAATTTATTATGCTCTGACTTGCTTTGAAAATGTAAAATGCTTTGAGATTGCCTCACTTTTGATACCTGGTCTATAAATAGACATGTTCATTAGAGAAGAAATATATATCTATAAAATTTTCTTTGCTATTAATAGGCTTTCAGATACAATTGAAAGAAATTCAAAGACATAAAAATATGTTTTTTAGGAGGGTAGAATGCTAAGCAGTGTGCTAATCATATGTTTTAAGGAGGGTAGAATGCTAAGTTTATTCAGTAAACAGTTCTCATATTTTGTTCAAATTTATAGAATTAATTAAAAATAATTATACTTTATTTAATTTTACAGTTATAATGGAGAATGGGATCTAGCTCAAAAAGCATTGGATGATATTATATACAGAGCTCAGCTAGAATTATATCCAGAGCCATTGCTGGTAGGTGCCTCATTTGTTTATGTAAATTTGATAATTTAAAATTTCTCAATTTAGAACTATGAATTGAGAAATAGCCATTCATAATGCATTAATGTCATTAAACTCAGTGATTCATGCTTCTGTTATATTAGGAAAATTTTATGCTTGAAAAGGTATATATAATTTGAGAATTTCATTAAGCTAACTGCTTAGATACCAGTAATAGTCTTTTAAACTTAAAAGAATGTTCTCCTTAACATACTAGAGCTGCATTTATTAATTAGCATTAGGCATGTGGAAATATAATTTTGATGTTTTGGAATTTTAAATTTTATCATTTACATATTATTATTATTTTTAAAATATTTTATTTATTTATTTAAGAGACAGAGACAGTGAGAGAGAGCACAAATGGGGAGGAGAGGGAGAAGCAGGCTTCCCACTGAGCAGGGAGCCCAATGTGGGGCTTGATCCCAGGATCCTGAGATCATGTCCTGAGCCTAAGGCAGAGCTTAACTGACTGAGCCACCCACGCACTCCATTTACGTATTATTTTTAACTATAGTTTCTTTCTGAGCTCTTACTCTTTATTCTAGAAGATTTATATATCATCTTAGGAAATACCTTGGAGAAAGAATTCTTCTTAAAAACTTGTTAAAATTTGGCACTTTGTGTTCTGTAAGGCTGTAACATATCTGTTAATGCCAATCTTAAACCATATATTTTTTTTTCCTTAGGTTGCTAATGCCATAAAGGCTTCACTGCCTCATGGTGCCATGAAATCTAGTAAGGAGGGTACAAGGTGTATTCAAGTTGAAATCACACCAACTTCCTCTCGAATATCAAGAAATGCAGTAACCAGCATGTCAATAAGAGGTCATAGGTGGAAAAGACATGGTAAGAAGTAAAAAAGTCTTCAAATTAGAGGATTGTTGATTCTGTCACATTTTTGTCTTTACTTGCAATGCTATAAATTCTAACTTTTGTAAATAATATTGTAGTGGCACGGAAGAAAGAGCTGTTGGATCACCTTTAATTCCTAAATTATTATCCACAGGTGATAAACAGTAAGACAAATACAGTCCCTTATGTTACATATACGAATGAAAATTTATTTAAACATTGTATTGGTTTTTAAATTTTATTTCAATAGAATAGGAAAGTAGGAAAATGCATGTTAAAATTATTCACACATGGATTTCTATTCAAAAGCATTTGCAAATATTGTTTAGTGTTTCTTATTTCTCAAGAACTTTTTCACAAGTAAACTTGCATATTGAAGTCGAACAACTAATAGGGACTTTGACATTTTCTTTTGTACTTCCTGGTCAAGTCAATGCCATCAAATTGATACAACTCTAGCTAAGCCTTATTATTTCTTGGATGTTAATTTTCTTCCAGGACTGTTTGTTTTAATATTCCTCCTTGACTGCTTCATTTTATTACTTAAAAATTCTATGGGAATTAATTTTATTTATCATGGCCTTCTCAATGCTTTCTCACTTCTCTATCTTTTCTTATAATTTATTATTTTTAATTTAATTTCTTATTCTTTCTATTGACTCCCCTCCTACCTACAAGTTATTGTAATGGCAAGAATCAGTGTAAGAAGATTACTATTACCTCCCTCAGAAGGTAATCATAGGACAAGAAGCAAAAAGCCACTTCTTTGCCCAAAGCAAACATATATATTACTCTATTTTCTTCTTACTTAAACTGTGGTGAAAATGTAGCTCCTTTTGGTATGTTTTATTTCAGTTGTCTCTGTGGTTCTCTGCAGAGAAAATGCAAAAGTGAGACGAATATTATTCATGGTGAAAAAGAAAGTTGATGATAATATTGTTCCTACTTAGGAAATCTGGGAGACTTATGTCACAGGGAGTGACGATGGAAAATTCCAGCTTAACCAATAAATCATTTTCAGTCTTTTTTATTTTTTAAAGGAGTGTGCCAATTGTTGAAATTTCTTTAAGAAGACATGAAAGAGGTAGTAATATTTGCCATTATTAGCAAGGCAAATGATGCTATGATATAAAACATATAGAGGCTAAACATACTTCAGTTTCTTCAGTGAAAATTACACTACTGAACGGGACTAGATTACAGGTAGAAAGTCATTTACTTAGTATGGTGGCATCTTAGAGATCAATTTTATGTTTTGTCCGTAAGAGGTGAAATAGGCACAAAGACAGTGAACCAGATCATATGGGTCACTGTAGCTGTAATTGTTCCCAAACTACTACAGAAGATGCGAGAATGAATTTTAATTCCTTTTCCACATTCCCTTCTTGCTCCGTAGTGAATGTATGGGAAATGAGAAAAAAATATATAGGTTCTGCAGTTAATAATATGAAATATTGCAGTTTGATTGTATTTGTGCATGTGTATGTTACAGAGGTGTGTGTATGTGTCCATGCATACATTTAACAGAATAAGATCTTTACCCTGTAGTAAAAAGAAGCAATTTTCTAGAAATATTTTATAGGAATAAATTGCCAAAATAAAGAGAAAAAAACTACTTGAAGATGTTGTATCTATTAGAGTCTTACATATCTTCCAGGGTCAATTTTGGCTACAATTTGAGGGATTGGTCCTGTGTCTTAAGGCTATGGCCTCATTAAAGTAATCTTCCTTATCAACTGCCCCCTACATTCAGTCCGACCTTCAAAACTCTCACACTTGGGCAACTCTATTTATGGTGACAAAAAAGTCACAGATGAGAATTTAGAAGCGAATGAACTATAAAAAAAAGGAAGTCAGTTCATGGAGCAGATGTAGAATATGGCTTATCTTGTTTACCACTCTTGTATAGTGTGAATTCCCTTTATCCAATGACCAAAATATGCCTACTCTAAGACACTTATTTATCTCTACAGGTAGGTTGCATTCTCCCTTTTGACAGTAGTCTTGGTTTTCCTTGCCAGAGTAGTATTTTTCATTGTTATCCTGTCCTGTTGAATTAAAAACTACTGTTTTCCACTTTTGTGATCCTGATTCCTACTTTGAAAACCTTATTATTCTGAGCTCTCTAATTGACACTGGCTTCTTGTGGGGAAGATAGGTAACTTTATGATAGCTGTTAAATATATAGACAATTCTCAAGTTATAAATGGATTTTTAAGTTTGTTTATATATATTTATTCCATTTATATGTTAATTATATAAATTTTAACAATTTAATTTATACATTAGTTTTTGTGGAAACAATGTTAAAGGGTTTGTAGATTTTGGGGTGACCTACAAAAGCCTTTAATCCCATAATGTTTCTGAATCATAGGATGTAAGTTTAATTTATAACTGTGTGAAAACACATTTAGAGTTTCTTTATTTGATAAACCTCTGCATTGTTTGCCATTCCACCTGTATTGCTACCACTCCCTTACTACCTCAACCCTCCCAGAAGGAAGGATTTCTTCTCAGACCCCAAACTATATCATACAATAGGAACATGGAATATGCAACTTTAAGACAGTGATGATGAGAACTGAGGAAGGAGAAGGGACAAGAAACATGAACTTTAAGGAATATTCCTTTTTTCCCCCCTTTCTCTTTGTTATCACCAGTACCAGGAAAGAAGAAAGCAGTTGGTCCTTTTTTCTTTCCTTCGGTCTCTTTCCTTTTTCTTTTTTCTTGTATTTATGTCTTTTTAAAAAATGGAGATATAATTGACATATATTAGTTTTTGGTGTACAACATAATGATTTAACATATGTATATATTGCAAAAAAGATTACTACTCTGGAGCCTACCAGGTCTAATTAATATCCATTGCTACACATAGTTATACATATTTTTGTGTGTGTGACGAGAACTTTTAAGATCTACTCTCTTAGCAACTTTCAAATATACAATATAGTATTAACCATAGTCACCTTATATCCTAACATCCCCAGGACTTACTTATTTTATAACTGGAGGTTTATACCTGCTGACTATCTGTACCCATTTTGCTCACCACACTCTGCCTACCTCTCCCCTGCCTCTGACAACCATCAATGTGTTGCCTGTATCTATGAGCATGGTTTGTTTGTGTTCTACATGTAAGTGAGATCATGTGGTATTTGTCTTAATCGGATTCATTTCCCTTAGCATAATGCACTCAAGGTCCATCTATATTATTGTAAATGACAGGATTTTCTTCTCTTTTATGGCAGAATAATATTTCATTATATATATATGGCACATTTTCTTCATCCATCCATTGGTGGACTTTTAGGTTGCTACCACATTCATGTCTTTATTTATAGCCTGTCTTTTTTTTTTTCCTTCTTCCACCCTGTCTGGGGAAATGAGGGAGAGGACTAAATGAGGTTCTCCTGTGGAAGCAGCCAAGCAGAACTTTCTTTTTTTGTTTACTTTCTTTCCATTTCTTTTTTTTAAGATTTTATTTATTTATTCATGAGAGACACACACAGAGAGAGAGAGGCAGAGACACAGGCAGAGGGAGAAGCCGGCTCCATGCAGGAAGCACGACGTGGGCCTTGATCCCGGAACTCCGGGATCACGCCTGAGCCAAAGGCCGACGCTCAACCACTGAGCCACCCAGGCGTCCCTCCATTTCTTTTTATTAGTAAAGAATATAAATAATTAAGCCATATGAACATATTAGTATGTTTGCATATTTGAGTCACCCAAAATTATACATGCTAACAAATATGTTAAATTGGAAAAATTAATCACATATATTCTTTTGTCTTATTTGCAACAGAAAAACTAATTTTCCTTACAGTAATAGCTAATCGATATTTTAGTGATTTTAAAATTAATTTGGAACAGTTTTAATTTCTTACATTAAAATTCTTGTTCTGGGATCCCTGGGTGGCGCAGCGGTTTGGCGCCTGCCTTTGGCCCAGGGCGGGATCCTGAAGACCCGGGATCGAATCCCACGTCGGGCTCCCGGTGCATGGAGCCTGCTTCTCCCTCTGCCTGTGTCTCAGCCTCTCTCTCTCTGTGTGACTATCATAAAAATAAAAATAAAAATAAAAAAAATAAAATTCTTTTTCTGGGCAGCCTGGGTGGCTCAGCGGTTTAGTGCTGCCTTTGGACCAGGTGGTGATCCTGGAGACCCGGGATTGAGTCCCACGTTGGGCTCCCTGCATGGAGCCTGTTTCTCCCTCTGCCTGTATCTCTGCCTCTTTCTTTCTCTCTCTCTCTCTCTCTCTCTCTCTCTCTCTCTCTCTCTCTCCCTCTCTCTCTCATGAATAAATAAATAAAATATTAAAAAAAATTTTTTCTGAGCTCTTCTAGAATTTATTGCAGATCCACCATTCTTTAAGAATTATCCAAAGCTTATATTTTAATAGAAAGCCTTCTTTTAGAAGGTAAAAAATTAATAGCTTTAACACTTCCACACATTTCAGAACATTTAATCCTTGTCATGGTCTTGTTACTATTGAATAACAACCCAGTTTTCTAGGATTGTATTTTGACCAGTTTTATTTGCTTGGCCCTCTATTTATTATTTGATAATAAGAGTAGGCTTTATTTTTTAGAGCAGATTTAGGTTCACAGCAAAATTGAATGGACCCTCAGACCATACCCCTCCCATACACACATATGTCCTCCTCCAATATCAACACCCTGCACCAGAAAGTTATATTTGTAAGGTCCTGTAATTTTAATTTTGACTAGAAAGTGTATCCTCATATCAACTAAAAAGGGTGGCTTTTAAAGAAAGGTTGGTTTCTATTGAGATATTAAAGACATATTTGACAATTAGTATGTTTGCCTAATTTTCCTTCTTACTTGATTATCTTAATATTGTACTGACATGGCTTAACTTGTGTTTTCAAACTTTTTAAACTTTGTATATAAATTTCTGAGAAAAGTTTAATGACTTTATAATTCCATGCCAATATGTATTATGTTCGGAAAGTGAAATTACAATGTAGAACTGC